GGAATGGTCGGGGTGGGGAGGGGGGTGCAAAAGGAAAAGGAATTTCATAGTACTCTTGAACAAAGGGATTACAAAATTAATCACAAAAGAAAATCACATAGTACTAAACAGGAATACAAACGTAATTACAACAACAAACCCATTATAATCTCACACGTGGTGCCTGGGAGGGTCATGTGCACACAACCTTACCCCTACCTTTGGGAAAGTGGAGACTGGAGAGGTTATTTCCGATAAACCCTCGGTTCAAGGAATGAATATAAACGTAATTACAAAAGAAAATCACACAATACTTTTGAATGCAGGGATTACAAACATAACCACAAAAGAAGTGTGTTGGACTGGCCACGAAGTTTAAGAAACCAAAAAAGAAAAAACTTTTGACATTTATATAAAGAATATGCGAAGTACTAAATTTATCAGATCAAAAGAGAGATAAAGAATGTAGCCAAGCTAGAATCAGCTGAAGTCAGAAACGTATAGTTCATCAACTAAAATTGTTCCAAGCTTGTCCAATTAAAATATTGGCAACAGGGAAAAGAGGGAATCAACAAAAACAGATCCCCTCGGCAAAGTTGCCTTATTTGCAATTCTCTTTTTGCATTAAACATACAATTGTTCTCAAATTCAATAATGTTAAGACCCTTTCAAGACAATAGAAAACCATGCTTATGTCACTTAACTAGTGTTTTATAATCTTCATGAAAACTTACTGACAAATTTTGGGAGGTAAAATGCTTCCTTAAAATCCAAGTAAACAGCAACAGTTTAGAAAAGACCAGGCATTGTATCTCTGGTTATCTACAACCTTATAAACTCTTCATCAAGGAAAAAAAACTCTAGGATAACACATAATAGAACTTGATAAAATAAAGCATAAAATACACCAATTAAAAGAGCCACTTTCAGAAATGCAGGGTAAGCTTGCGTACAATAGACCCTAGTGGTCCGGCCCTTCCCCGGACCCCGCGCGTAGAAGTAGCTTAGTGCACCGGGCTGCCATTTAAAATACACCACATAAAACAATTTGTTTAGACCAGTAGTTGTGATAACATAGAGCTAATAAAGGATGTACCCCAAAATAATGGAGCTAATAAGGGACGTACCACAAAAACAATTAGACCTAATGAAGGATGTAACAAAAAAATAGAGCTACAAAGGAATCTCATCAATCTATCAGAGTAACTATGACAAAATGCTTCATTTGGATGTTAAAATCCATAGCTTTTACTTGAATTACTCATCATTTAGGATGAATTCCTTCATGCACAGAATAAGCAAAACAATTGAAGGAGAAGAGCAAGAAGTATGACTTCTTTAGGTCAATCACAAAGTGTGCCAAAAAACCAATAAAAACAAGCAATCTCACGAAAAACCAATCAGCACGAACTCAATATACACAATTAGTGTGTATTCACAAAACAAGCAACAACTGCAAAATTTGCTTAAATTATACAACGAGCTTACTTCCTCATAAATGTATTGCCTTCCTTGTAAAGGTCTATGATTTTAGCTTTTAACTTGTAACACCAACTGCAGAGCTCCTGCATAAATAGATGCAGTGGCAATACATTGTTTTTAAAGTTGAGTAATTGAATTACACGATAATGCTGATGAGATCATGGACTTCACCAATCAGGATTAGTCGGGAAAAAATATCTCAGCAACAAAGTAACCCAAAAATAGACATTAGTATTCAAATGCCTAGATTTCTAGACAAAAGGAAACACATTTAGGCACATCCATGTCAAAGAAGCAGGTATTTTGATTCTTTTCAGAGTTCGAAAACAGAGAACATAAGGGCTAAAGTACCGGAAAGTACCTCTTTAGCATATGATGCCGATGATTCGACAAAGAAAAATACTAAGGCACACCCATCTCAGAGCAAGAGCATACCCAATCATTAGATTTTAAAAACAAGTGGGAAATAGGATTAATATCAAAAAGAACATATTTACCAACAAAGAAACTCAAAAATAGATTTTACCTGTTTGCATTCTGATTCTTAGAATTATAGTGAAAAGAAAACATTTTTAGGCACACCCATATCAAAGAAGCAGTATTATCATTCAACACAGAGAGTTCATAAACAATGAAAAATAGGCTAAAGTATCAAGATGTACATCTTTCGCAATAAAGTTAATTCTCAAATAGAACTTAGCATTCACATTCCTAGAACTTCAAAAGCAGAGAATTTGTTGTTTGCTTTCTTATTTGATATTTGGCCATCAATTATTTTTGCTACCATCACCATTTCTCGTTCAATTACTAAAATTCAGATACTGAAAACATTGGAGAAATTATTCCAGAACATTTTGGAAAATCAAACTAGTTTTAGACTGAAATGAATACCTTCAAGCTAAGAATTATTTCCACAATGCTTCTCCAAGAGTTACAGTCTCAAAAGTGAACCAAAAGTTAAATTGAGGTATGAGCTCGGATTGTTTCCTATGTCATCAAGTAGCAGAGAAAAAAGCAAAAAGCAAAAACCAAAATCAATAGCAATGGGGTAGGCTCAGATTCGCCTTTTCTCAGACAAAACCCAAAAAGCTTTGGAAAAAACTGCCATGGCTGCAAGCATAAGTTAGTCTTATGAGACAGGATAAAACACCCAAGAAATGGATTTTCTCCAATATCTCATAGACTCACAAGGTAGGGTGAGGTCTGCGTATATGTTGTTGTTGTTGTTGTATCTCATAGACATATTTGAGCTGCCATGCCAAGATACAGTTTTTCCAGCTCAATAGATTTATAAGTCTGTCTTTTTCACAAACAACAATCTTCATAGCCTCTAATAAATTTGAACAGAGGGAGTAATAAATCAATCAACCTAGGGTGGTTTTGCAATCGGAAAATTTTCATTTGAGTGATCATTGGCAGAGGAGAATGACAGAGAGGAGCAAAACCACCCATTGAAACTCCCTACAGCTCTCTGCTTTCACCGCTGCCTCAGACTTAAACTAATGATATTTTTGCTATTTTCATGTTATCGCCACTTCTTATATATTGTGCCCTAATCAATTGGGCCTTATCTAAATCGGGTCGAACTGAAACCAATATTTGGAAGAAATTTTACCTCCTGTAGCAAAGGTTGATATAGCAAGCTAATAATCACTAAAACATAGTGGTTTCTGAAAATTTCTCATGTTCAAATTCCACCTTTGCAAAAGGTTGGGGAAAAAACAGGATTAGGGCTTTTGAGCAAAAATACATACAACTCGATTATGCCGGAAAAGGGAGTGAAATTGAGGCTCAGATATGTGTTTACGATCAGGCAACAAGAGTGTCCGGGGACGCCATGGCTGCAAAACCCACCGGGAGCATGCCCCGCCAAGATACGGGTCGGATTATCTCAAAATGCCCCGATTAATTAGTAAGCTCAGAAAGGAATTAAAGTTAAAATCATCATCGCGTCTTTTAAGCACGTCGATTATACTCACCACCACCACTTCCACCGCCGCCACCGGCATCATTAAATGCTCCGGTGGAAACGTTAAAGAAAGAAAAAGAAAAGGCATACTGCATTGAAGAAACGATCCTATTTGTGCAAATCTCCCTATGGATAAACAGCGGCTCTAAAATCGGCAATGAAAGGGCTGTTAGAATAGTTTGAGAAATCACATGCCCGTTTGGCCGAGCTTTTAAAATCAAACTTATTTTGAAATGTACTTTTTTCTTGACACTACTTTTTTAAAAAGTATTTTAGGTGAGAAGTAGGTTATGTTTGGCTAATTAATTTGAAAAATACTTTTGAACAGTAATTAGTGTTTGACCAAGCTTTTGAAAACTGCCTCTAAGTATATTTTTCTCAAAAGTGCTTCTCAGAAAAGTATTTTTTGAAAAAAGAAACTACTTTTTTCTGTTTCTCCAAAACTGCTTTTGCGCACCTTTTTTCGTTAAAATATCATGGTATAACCAATTTTCACACTGGTCAATGAAAAATAGCCAGCGTTTACCAAGTCAATGAAAAATAGTCACTATTTTGCTGCAACAGGGATCGGTCCAGTATAATATACGGGAGTTCTGGTGCATTTGTGTACGAACTCCAGCATATTATGCTGGACCGGTATACTTTGCTAACTCCTGTAAAATTTGCGGGAGACTGGAACACCAGTGCTCCAAACTCCAGTATATTATACTGGACAATTATACTTGCTGGAACTCCCGTAAAATTTGCGGGAGTTCCAGCATAATTATGCTTGAACTCCCGTAAAATTTGCGGGCGTATTTTTCCGTATTTTGAACAGTGTTTTCGCTCAGATTTAAAGTGGCTAAATTTCGATGACTTTTGAAACTTGGCTATTTTTCAACGACCAGTGGTAAATTTGGCTATTTTTGAATTTCTCTCCTTTTTTTCCTTCTAAAAGTTTGGCGAAACAACTCAATTTTTGTCCAAAAACACTTTTGTCAAAAAAAAAAAAAAAAAGCTTGGCCAGAGTATAATATGCAGAGAGAGGCAACCGCCCTTTCAATGAAAAATCCTGTAGCCTCATTTTCTCCCTTCCGAGCTTTTTGCTTTGTCACATTTCGTTTTTTGGACTTTGGTAATCTGGCTATTGTAAGTATTAGTTACGTGAGGTATTATTCTTTTCTGATACGATCAATCAAATATTATACTACTCCACTATTTTGTATGAAATTTTATGTTGAAATTAATTGCTTCTATACACAAGCAACACAACCAAACGAATGAGCCCGTTTGGCCATGGAATTTTTTTTTTTTCTTTTTTCAAAAAAAAGTGGCCATGGAATTTTTTTTACTTTTTTCAAAAAAAAAAGTGGCCATGGATTTTTTTTAAAATCTTTCAAAAAAATTTAACTTTTTTTCAAAATTAGTGTTTGACCATATTCAAAATTTTCACTCAAATCACTCATAAAAATTCAAAAATAACCCAAAATTATATTCATGTACAAACACAACTCTCATTTTCAAATACCATTTTTCGAAAATTTACAATTCTTATGTCCAAACGCCCACTAATGTACAATCAACTCTCTATAAAAGCCTTATTTGTTCCGAATTTCTTTGACTGCTATAGTGAAGTGTTATTACAGAGAACATATATTATAGTATAAGTTGACTTTATAGTGAATAATTGTTATATAGCAATATTATAGGAAAGTCTAAGGGGTCGTTTGGTAGAATGCATTAGAGAAAATAAGGCATGCATTAGCTTTTAGTACTACTAATCCCTTGTTTGATACACTTTTTCAACCTATGCATTACTAATGCAAGTATTAGTTATACAACCTATTTGGTGTTATCCTATCTATATATTATTAAAAGGAGAGGAAAAAGCCCTCTCCTTAAGCCAAGTGGCAACCTAAAAAAATGCCACATGGCATAATTATTTATTTAGTTTATAATTAGTTATTGATTATTATTTTTGAATTTAAATATATATAAAAAATGAAAATAATAAAATAAAATAAAAACTAACATATATATATATATATATATATATATTAATCGGTTACTTTATTTGAATTAATAGATATAGATATCTTATAACTAAATATAATTAAAAAATGAAAAATAAATATATAAAATAATAACTACCCATTCAAATTGGGTGGGAGTAGTTTCAAGTTGGAGTTTATAAATTATCTTAAAATAAAAAAAGCAAAAAAAAAAATTAGCTATAAAAAAATGAAAGAAAGAGAAGAAAAACTACCCATTCAAATCGGGATGTAGTTTCAAGTTGGAGTTTTAAAATAATTTTAAAATAAAAAATGAAATTAAAAAAATAATAAATTAACAATTCAAATTGGGAATTAGTGTCAAGTTGGAGTTTTAAAATAAATAAAACAACGAAAATAAAGACATAAAAAACTTTCAGAGAAAAATATTTAATAAAGTAATATGCTAATAAAACTTTCTATTAACAATGTAATAATATTAAATATTAGATGATATAATAAAGAAAAATACATAACAAAAAAGTTATTCAATGCGCTCCCTGTATAAGTCCCGTTAGTTTAACAGAGATTTTGTTCATTAAAATTTAGATAATATTATTAAGAACAATAGAATAAAATTTAAAATAAAAAAAATATTTCAACATAATAAATTATAAATCTTCTCATATATGACAAAAAGAAAGCGAATATTAAATATTGGTTAATATAATAAAAAATATATAGAACAAAAAATATATTCACTAACTAAATAAGTACCTTTGATTTAATAGAGATTTCATTATTGGGTATATCGTATTGACAAGTAAGATGACAATTGAATTTTATTAAAGCAATACAATCTAATAGGATCAAACAAGCCCTATCATAATTTAATTTAATTAATATTTTTTAATACTGACCGCGCATCGCGCGGGTACTACTACTAGTGTATAACTAATACATATCAAGCCATGGTATTAGCAATACCAAGTGTCACACCTCCTTTTTCTTCTACTACACCCCGTGAAGGGTATAATGAAGGAGTTTTTCCAATTAAAAGACAATCGAAACGGGATTCGTTTATTAAGAGATTCAGAGTCGCCACTTGGGAGATTTATGGTGTCCCAAGTCACCGGTTTGAATCCCGAATCGAGGAAAGGGTTTGACTCTGTATTACAGTCGCGAACCAGAAATCCGAGTAAGGAATTCTGTTAACCCGGGAGAAGGGGTTAGGCATTCCCGAGTTCCGTGGTTCTAGCACGGTCGCTCAACTGCTATATTTGGCTAAAATCTGATTTTTATATACGTTAAAACCTATAGTGCAATTTTAAGATTTTTACCGCTTTTAGTCAATTTTTAAGAAAGTGAACGTCGTTTAAGAACGTGTTTTTGGATCACGTCACATGAAATGCACCCGGATCCTCGACACATTCTTATTCAACGGTTTGGGATTTGGATTTGGGTTGCATGAAATGCACACCAGTATTTAAGAAGGTAAAATTATTAAAAGCGCGCCTAAAATGGCTAACGGGTTATTATCTTTGCGGAGGGCCGTGAAATTCGCTAAACGGCACGCCCCGAATTCTAAGTATTTTAATATAAGCATTTAATGAGGGCCCCGCAATTTATGCATTTTTGTTTGGCGAGGCTCATCTCACTTTATTATTTAAAGGCCAACCTAAAGCAAACTATGATTTTCTATTGATTTTTTGTCTCTAAAGAGCCTTAGTTAATATTATAAAATCCGGGCCTCAAGTTCAAGTCCGGATTCAAACAAAAGGGACAACCTTTTAATTTGAACCCGCTACCTAACTCGAAAGCCCAAATATATTACTAAACCAAATTACACCTTTAAAAGAATTTTAAGCTTTCCAAATATTGGCCCAAGAACTAGGAATTTCAATAGGATCTCTGGCCGGCCTTGGCCCTTTGCAGGGGCCCAAATGGAGGAAAACACTAGGAAGGGTCTTATATCCGACTGGGCCTATTATTAACATGACTGGGCCCAGTATAAGCGACTATTTTCAGAGTTTGAGATTAGCTTTAACAATGTGACTAATACAACAACTAAGTAACTATGCTACGACAATCATTGGACTGTCCATGACTCTCCTGAATGCCTAAACCAAAATTGTATCATATATTGTGTCAAAACAAGCTATCAAGTGCTTCAATCCACAGGCTGATTCTAAATCTGGATTTCATGTTTTGTGCTTGGATTTGTATATTTTTAATAAAACAAACGCTGATGTTAAAACTTAATTCCAAAACTGAAAACCTACGTAAGTCATTGTCAAATTCCTTTGGACCTGGATTTAACTGTAATTCAATATCTATTAACATACCATCAAATTCTAAGTGAAATGGAATTTACTAGAGCTATACTAAACAACTGTACTAGACAGCTTCACTAACGCAACTACACAAAAAAAAAAAACAATTTAACAGTCTAATTACAACAGTCCAAAAGTCTCATCAACGTGACTAATTATTATTCGAACAACACATTCGTGTAACAACTTGTCCATTATTGAACTTCAGAAGTGTATACAAGTGGATTTGATTCTTCACATAACATTTGAAGCTTAAAAAGGTACCTGGATGTGAAATCAAAATGAGGAGAAGAAGAGGTCAGCTACAGCAGTATAAAACAGATGCAAGGCTTCAGCAAATGTAATCCAGCAACAACACAGCAATAGGATTAATTGAAACCCAAAACTGTATTGCTATAACCCAGGAAGAAGGACAGACGAAAAGCAACCAGTAAGACAAAACGAACAGCCTCAATTTAAACTCCATCACTCTCGAATTTAAACCATGAACCTCCAGAAAGTTTTCAACAATCAAATCCTTAGGCTTAATGATGCCAAATCAGTTGATGAACTTTGAAATTGACCTAGAATTACAATAGAACAGATTTTTCTTTTTGATTTTTGGAGTTTTGCTTTGAAGGACTAAGATCTCAGGAATTTTGAATTTGAAATTCAAATTTGAGCTGATGAAACTTGGGAAAGTGGGGGGAATTTTCAGAGCTACTTTTTGGGGAATTTTAAGGGGTTCAAAACTTATAAATGAAGGCAAGGGGGATGCCTTTTATAGGCAGGAAAGGGGGAGGAAACTTCTAGAATTCATTCACTCATTTTCCCCCTTTTTATTTTCAGATTTATTCAATAGTCCCTAATGTTTTGACTTGTTTCTCAAGTTACTGCATTTACTTGTTGAATTTTCAGATTAACACCCTA